CGTTACTCCCTGATATACAATATAAAACAAAATTACGCAAAATATGTTATACAGTTCATTGACTGTGTCTTTTAACTAGCCCTTCTATTACTCCGTAGTTAGAAGCAACATACATGTATAATCTTTTATATATATATGCTTATATTCTTAGAAATTACATTCGTCAAAACTACATTTTTTTTTGTACGTGATCTTTCAAGGGCTATAATTTGTTAAAATATATAATGTTGTGTCTCAACGTTTCATTTTTTAGACTAGACGCCAGAGTATAATATTTTCTGATATTTAAAAAAAATGGTTTCTTCATATTTGCACGTTGAAAAAAAGAGAATTGCGTGTTTTTAATAATATAAAAATGCGGACACCACAAAATAGAACGATTTTGTACATAGCCTAATGGTTCTGATCCGCAATAAATCATAATGACACAATGATGGATATCTCATTAAAAGTAAGTTCTCGAAACACGTCAAAACTTTCTTATTAACCAATACTGCTTATAATTATCTGCTGTAATAAATGGTTGTATGGAAAGAATTGATAAAACAGGGGCGCACAACGCTGCTTCTTTTGTGACTCCGACTTGTAAAATAGGTCTCTTGATCACTGTCAGCACGGAGACGAGCAGATTGCTCTTGTACTATATATATATACGAATAGTCAACCCAGATGGTTCCTTTCCGCCCGAATTACTGTAGCTCCTGGGAATAATTCATAAAACTACAATAATAAACCATAACGATTAATCCGCCAATAAACTCATGAAACATTTTTCTATAAATACACGTATTCACCAAAAGAAAAAACGTAATATAATAATTATAAGAAAATTATTTTTTTAAAGACCAGTAGACATACGTCAGGAAACATTAGCAGCACAGAAGATCAAATTGTGTGGTTCGGGTATTCAAGAATCATAGAAATTCTGTTTCTCTAAATAAATATATTATTTGAAAATATAGTTTATCACATGTTTGTTAACAATTAATTAAAATTTGCTGAAAATATATATACCCAGAACAAATAAGACGTTTATGCAGTTGCGATCTACAAACTTATGAAATTACAAAAAAAATAGCAAACAATCCTACAAGATACGATTTACAAACAAATAAACAAGCTCAAAACCGGGTTTCGATACCCGTGGTGGGCACAGCACGGATAGCCAATTGTGTAGCTTTGCGCTTAACAACAACAAATAAGCAAGTCCAGAAAAATCTATTCTAAATATTAGAATTTACAAACAAACAAATCTAAAAAAAAAAAATAACTCTTCAAGTTATAATTTATACATCTATAAAAAAAAGGAAACGTTTATGCAAATCGTGATTTCCAAAACTTAGGTCCACAAACACGCACACAGACATGTTAATTAACAAACAAATGTTTGTTTTTCGAAAATATAGTGCAGAAAAATTAATTATAAAAAAATATTTTTATAGTCCAAAGAATTGCAAATGAATCTATATTCACAACAAGACAACTAACGTTACCAGCCCCCCAGTGGCACAGCGGTATGTCTGCGGACTTACAACGCTAGAATCCGGGTTTCGATACCCGTGGTGGGCAGAGCACAGATTAGCCCATTGTGTAGCTTTGTGCTTAATTACAAACAAACGAGCTAAAGTTACCTACCGCTGTCCCTAATTTTGAGCTACTGCCCAGGTAACGGCAGCCAATCAAAAAGCATCCACACTAAATAATTGTATATCACTCTCATAACGCAACTACAGCTTTAACAGTGTGAAGAAAATCTTATGGTATCTCACAGATTCGAACCCGAATCAACAGCTCTGAAATTTAAAGTTCAACCACAGTGCAAAACCGTGTACTCAAATTTAGGCATAAATCTACACCCACAGTTGTGTTAGAGGCTTCGTGCAGCTACTTGGGGAATGTTCTAGACAGAGCGAGTGATAAGTTAGGTCTATGACACTGGAGAATGTTCGTTAGAACAGACTTTCTCACTGAAATCGTATGTCAGTATCATCTTTTTTTTGATGATCGTCTTGCGCAGTGATACGGGATTCCTTTACGAGTTTGAGTATGTGTTTAAAAGGTTCTGTTGTATGACTCTTTAACTGAATACCATAGCCAACAATATTATTCTCTGGCGTGAGGCTGGCATGACCTAGTAGTTAGGTCGCTCAACTCGCGATCTGTAAGTCGCGGGATCGAAACACGTCCTCGAACATCCCCCCCCCCTTTTATCCATGGGAGCGCAGGCAATCCCACTATTCGTTGGTAGAGAGTAGCCTAAGAGTTGGCGGTGGGTGGTGATTACTAGCTACCTTCCCTCTAGTTTATCACTGTTAAACCAGGAACGACTAGCCCTCGTGTAGCTTTGCGCAAAAATCAACAAACAAATAAATCCTTGGGGCTGTATATGTTAGGTTGAATATATTTATTATATTTCTAATCTAACAAAAATTTCGAGTCAGACTTTCAGGCAAGACTTTTGTTACTTTTGTAAACTCGAAATTGTTTTTATTCTTTCTGTGCCTAAAAGGTGTATCCAAGTAAACAAATAGGCACCAACTGGGATTAAGAATTAAGAAATAAGTCCGCACGTGGAAGGTAATTATAGCGTAGTAAGCAAATTCAACTAAAACGAGGCTTAAAGATCTCGAGATATTCTGCGAACATCGTTTGTCTTTTTACTTCGTTACGTCATCAGCATCGCATTTTGCTATTGGCTATAAAATACCTTGTAATAATGATAGTCAAAAATAGTCACCTTCAGATGGATGGATGTTCGGAAGAAAATAAAAAAAGAATTAGAACATTTAACGAGACCCGATCCATAGTCAGCACAGTCCACGATGAGGGGGGGGGGTCTGCTGACCCAGACTAGTTTTAGCTACTTGGACTACACCAACGCGTCACAAAAAATAAAACACAATAGACCACTAACTGACCTTTCAGGTCATTTCATTGTCGATATTTACTTGTGTTGTGGAAGAAAAATGTTTTGTTGGATCATTCACGTTCCGGAAAAAAAAAAAAGAAGGGGGGGGGGTATTTTCGTCAAAAGCTCTGTGAACTTTGTGAAAAGGGGGGAGAGAAAAAGTCCGTTTTGGTTCTTGTTCCGTCTAAGAACTACAAAATAGAGTTCGACAATAATCGGATGTATAGAACTACATACACAGCTAGCGATGTTTAACTAGTCTTAAAGTGATACAGTCTCGTGCGTCCCACGTGTTGTAAGTCTACGAAGGCACGTTTGTGGTACAACCCAATCACTTTAGTAAAGCCGTTTTATCCAATTTACTAACTGTATATGATGTGTCGCGGTGAGATTTCATATGGTAATATACCGCGCAGTATTATATGTAATTATATGCAAGGTACACAGACTGTTTTACTCTTTCGTGATGGATATAATGCAAGTCATGTTGGTGTATATGAAATAATATAATGATATTCGACATATATATAAAACGCCATCTTTGAACAGAACGTTTATAATATATATATCACTAGGAAGAAAAGATAGACTCCTTGTTTTCTTTTTTAGAGGGTAAATTGTCTATCTTTGTTTTCTTTTTTAGGGGGTAAATTGTCTATCTTTGTTTTCTTTTTTAGGGGGTAAATTGTCTATCTTTGTTTTCTTTTTTAGGGGGTAAATTGTCTTACAATCTTTGTTTTCTTCAGTCGACAAAATATAGTCTAAGCAGG